GGTGGGGGGGGAGGTGGGGGGGGGGGGGGGGGGGGGGGGGGGTGGAGCCGCGGTGCGGGGCACGGCGCACCTCGGGGTGGCCCTTCCCGGAGCGGGGTGTGCGGGGGTGTCTCTCGGGGAGCCCCCGGTGTCATCCCCAGCCCGGGACACCCCCTCCCGCGGTGAGACGGGGCTGGTGGCCCTGGTGCCCCGTGGGGGTGAACCTCGTTGGAGCCTCGTGGGTGGGGGAAGAACCGGGTCGTGCCTCTCCCTGGAGCCCTGGGACACCCCCCTCCACACATACACCCGTCCCCGGGGACAAGGAGGTACCCGTCCCCGGGAGCTGCAGAGCCGTGGCAGGAGGCTTTGTGGTCTGCGGTGGTGGGTCTTTCTGCGCCCCGGCAGCAAGATTTCTCCTCTGTGGGTCCCCACCTTCATCCGAAGGTGTTTTCTGGCCTTCAGGAAAGGTGAAAGCCCTCGGAGGTAGAAAGGTGCCACCACCTGGTGGTGATGCACCTGGAGATGCACCAGGGGTGGGTGCAGCCAAACTGCCTTTCAGCCTGACCTGGGGTTAATCCCACCCAGCGTGCAGATTCAGAGGCCCTAATGGGACTTTGGAGTACTTAATGAGCTAAACCTGGATGATGTTGCCACGTGGATGGTGTCTCCAGGCCCTCTTTGATGTCCTCAGAAGTCTGAGGAGATGATGGTAGAAGGCAGTTGGCTGTCTTGGGGTCCCAGGCTGCCTGGGGTCTCAGGATGTGATGGATCACTTTGGCTCTGCGCTCCAGGTCCCTCTTGCAGTGGTCACCAGCTGCTGCCTGTGTCTTGGCTTTCAAAGCCCATGCAGACATCTGTGAGGGAACTGTTGGTGTCGTTGTGCTCTACCAAAGCTGCTGGACTTAGCAGACTTGGACAGTGCACAGGGTGGTCCTTCAGATGTGCAGCATTGAGAGGCTCCTCAGGTTTCCTCAGGGCAGAGGGGTTCAGCATTTGTTCCTCCATCTGCTGGCTGGTTCTAGGCCATGCAGTTGCTTCATGAGGTTGGGAGGCTGGAAACTCATTGCCTGGACAAGCACCGACGGCCTCTCCCTTCTCAGATGTGGACCAACAGTATCAACCAGGCCAATAAGATGGCCCTGCTTGCCTGGGCAAAAGAAACCGGCATCAACCTGGTGCAGGTCAACGGGCAGAGGCGATATGGTGGCCCACCCCCAGGTACGTGAGAAGAGCATCTTGGTGCTCTGGGAGCACGGCATGTAGGGGGCACGGAGGCAAGGTGGGTCTCACCTGTGTGCACCATGTCTCTGTGTGCCTGCAGGCTGGGTGGGCAACCCCCCGCCAGCTGGCACAGAGGTCTTCATCGGGAAGCTGCCGCAGGACATGTACGAGAACGTGTTGATCCCACTCTTCCAGAGTGTGGGGAAGCTCTATGAGTTTCGCCTCATGATGACCTTCAGCGGGCTCAACCGGGGCTTTGCCTACGCCAAGTACAGCAACCGGCGCAGCGCCAAGGAGGCCATTGCTGCCTTCAACAACTTTGAGGTGCGGGAGGGCTGTGCCATCGTGGTGTGCAAGAGCACGGAGAAGTGCGAGCTGAGCATGGACGGCCTGGCTGCCTCGGTGAGCCAGCGGGAGCTGGAGGCCATGCTGCGGCGGGTCACGGAGGGGGTCCTCAGCATCACTCTGTATGCCAGCCCTTGCCAAAAACGGGCCCAGCTTGCTGTGCTCAAATACAGCTCGCACCAGGCTGCTGCTATGGCCAAGAAGACCCTGATGGAGGGTAAGTGGGAGGCCTGGGTGCTGTGGGGTGCTGCTTGAGTCTTCCCAGTGTCTCTAAGAAAGGACTGATCCCTGCTCCACACTCTGCAGGTTGACTTCAGCCTTGAGGTCTTCCTTGTTCTCTCCCTGTGTCCCCTGGGAGGCCAGCTGCCATCAGTGGGGCTGATCCTTAGCAGTCCTTGTGCAAGACCTAGTGGTGGCTGGGGGTAAAGGGGCTGCTGGAGGTCTTCAGGCAGCCGCCTGCTTAAAGCAGGAACATCACCAGTACCAGTCCAGGGCAACCAGAGCTTTGGCTGAGTTATTAAACCCTCCCGATGGAGATGCTGTACCGCTCAGTGCCCTGTCCGTGGTTGTACTACCCTCTGATGGGGCATGATTCCCAGACATCCATCTGGAACCTCCAAAGTGCTGATTCCTACCCATTTCTGCCCCAGCTGAAAAGCATTTGGCTTTGATGTCTTTGCACCTGTCCCCTAAAGGCAGGCTGCCCCAAAAAATCCCCTGAGCTTTGCAGCCCCAAGCCCACCTTGGTAGCAAAAGGAGATGGAGAAGCAACTGCCCTGCAGCTGTGTGAGGGCTCGTGGAAGCAAGGGAAAGGACCCTGTGCGGTTCGTATGCTGTGGGTCAGTCCCAAACCAGCTGTGGGGATCACCAGATGCTGGGGTTTGGGATGGGGTGGGATGGAGCGATTCTGGAGGGCTGGTGCCTGAGCATCTCCTGCCAGCTGCTGTCGGTTTCTCCTAGGGAACATGAGGCTCGGTGGGCTGGAGATAAGGGTGGACTGGCTGAACCCCAGTCTGAAGCAGAAACTGCAGTTGTGCAAGGAGAAGCTGTCATCCAGCCGAGTGCAAGGGGGCAAGTCCCTGGGGGTCCCCAGGCAGGCGCCTCTGTCTCCAGTGCTGCGCAACGCGCTGGACCACCTGAACACCCTGTGCCAGAGGCAGTACCTGGGGACCCCCCTCTTCCTCACCAAGTGCGTCCAGGCAAACCGCAACGGGTGGCTGCGGTTCTGGTGCCGGGTGGTGATCCCGGGCTGCCCGGTGCCGTTCAGTGGGTTCACGTGGGTCCGGCAGGATGGGCCAGGCAGGAGTGGACATGAAGAGGCGAAGGTGGTGGTGGCACTGCAGGTTCTCCGCATGCTAGGTGAGTCCTCCAGGGCGTTGGTGCCAACCCCCCCCCCTTCCCAAAGTCCTGGAGCATCTCCTGGGAGCGTGGAGGTGTCGTGTCTACTGTGGGGGGGGACCCAGCCTGGTAGGCAAGGCTGAAACACTGTCACCCCCCCACCCTCCTCTCTGGATGTGAGCCCAGTGGCTCCGAGCTCTGTTTGGGGTTCCTGGTTGGAAGCTGAGGACGCAAGGGGGAAAGGGGGGTTTTGGGATGCTGCTTCCCGCAGCGCCGCACAGAGCCCGGTGGTTTCCTCTCCGCTGCAGGATGCCCGCTGACGTAGCCAGCCCTTCTGCCCCAGCCACCCGTTGAAGCCGAGCCGCAGGAGCAGCGTGCGAGCCCTGCTGGGGACCTGGTCCTGTTCCAGCTCTGCTTTGAGTTTGTTTGGGTTTGTTTGGAGAGCCGGCTCTGGAGGATGGGGCTGCTGGCCTGGTCTGTGACCGCTGCCCTGTCCCCTGCTGGCCTTTGGGGACAGTTCTGTTTTTTGGGGGTGTAGGTTTACCCGCCCGGTTTGGCTTTTAAGTTGGTTTGTGTTTTCTTCTGTGGTGGAGGAGCCCCGGTGCAGGTCTTGGGGAGGAGAAGCAGCTGCTTGGGAGAAAGCGCTGGCATTGGCTGGGGAGGCGGAGAGGACCTTGAGGCTGGCCCGGGCTCACCAGGGGACAGCGCATGGCCTCAACTGGCGTGCCTGGCTCCTCAGGAATGGCCTGCAGTGAGGACAGGGTCACATATGGGGACAGTCCTGGTCAGTGGGGGATGTCCCGTGGGTTGGTGGAGCTGCTTTGTCATGAGGGAAGCGTGTACGGGCTCTGGGAGGAGTGGGGCTGTTTGCGCTGTGGGGTAGCAGCCGGGGGTTACCGTCTGTCTATGAATGATTTCATGGGACCAGGAGGTCCAGCTGCATGCTGTTCACTTGGTATTAAAGTATCCTGGAAAGCGCTGGCTGTGTCATGTCGTGTTTTTCTCCCACATCCTTGCTCCCTGTCTGTCTAGCACCATCTCGGCACTCTCCACCCACACCCGGAAACCTGTGTTCTCCATCGGCAGGAGAAGGGACTTTGGTCTGTCCTGTAGCCTCCAGGCTCCAGGGCTGCAGCCTGCCGTGCCCTGAAAGCAGCAGTCCCTGGCCCCCAGAGATTGGTGTCCCCAACTTCTCATCGGGGTCTTTCTGAGTGCCTTTTGGTGTGCCCCAGGTTCCTCCGAGCACCTCTTGATGAGCCCTCAAGAGGTCTTTGAGTGCATCCCTGAGCCATTGCCCTGAGCCTTTCTGCTCTTCTCTGGGGCCTCTGAAGGCCTTTCAGCATCCCCAGTGATCTATGAGTGGTTTCCAAGTGCTTTTTGGGTCACACCTGGGGGCCTCTGAGTAGTCTCTTCTCCTGTGCGAAGGACCCATGTGTCTTGCTGTTAGCCCCTGGTGGCTTATTGTGCTCACCAGGGTCCCAAGAGCATTTTGGTGTGCCTAAGGGGACTCTGTGTGTCTTTCTGTGCTGCCAAGGTGCCTCCAGGTGCCTTGAAGCGCCGACGCCAGGGGACTCCTAAGTGCCTTCACGTGTCCCCCAGAGGCCATTCTGTGCTCAACACTGCTTGGCTGGTGCCTTTTGAAGTGCCCCACAGGCCTCCTGGAGCATTAGGATGTGGCCCACAGCTCTACCAGTACCTTTGGACATGAATCTGGACCCTCCAGCTCCCTTTGGCAGCACCCAAGTGATGTCTTTGTTTCTGTTGGACATGCCCAGCAGGGGATCCTCCAAGAGCCTTTTGGTGTACCCTCAGGTGCTTCCAAGTGCCATTTTTTACTCCACGGAGGTCTGCGCATCCCTCCTGATGTGCACCAGGACCCTCACTGTGTCTGTCTGTGCATCTGCAACAGTGTCTGAGTGAATTTTGATACCTTCAAAGTGCCTCTCATTGCACTGCAGGGTCTCCAACGTGCATTTTCTTGTGACACCCTCTTCTGGGACTTCCATGGGCCCCTCAGAGGTCTACCAGTGTCTTTTGAGGCACCCCAAAGGCCCCAAGGGCTATGCTGGCCCTGGGGATGTGTCCCAGCCTTGGTGTGGCTGAGGACCACATGGGAGATCGTGGTTGCCCAGGAGCAGGGCACCCCAGCTTGCAAAGCAGCTGAGTCTTTTTATTAGGACAGTCTGGAATGAGACACGAGCTCGGCCTCAGCGAGTGCCCTGGAGAGAGGGACCCCCTCTCCCTGGGAAGCCCACCTGTCTGCGTCCAGTCACCAGCACCCACTGCGTACAGATACGCCACACATTCACACATATCTTAAGGTGTATCTACAGAACCATCATAGCTTCATCTTTTTTTCAGGGGTGCCCAGTGGTAGGACAAGAGGTAATGTGCACAAACTTGAACATAGGAAGTTCCATCTAAACATGAGGAGGAACTTCTTTGAGGGTGGCAGAGCAGTGGCACAGGCTGCCCAGAGAGGTGGGGGAGTCTCCCACTCTGGAGCCATTCCAACCCCGCCTGGACACCGTCCTGTGCAACTGCTGTAGGTGACCCTGCTCTGGCGAGGGGGTTGGACTAGATGATCTCCAGAGGTCCCTTCCAACCCTGACCATTCTGTGATTCTTCACGGGCATAGCCTGGACATACAGCTGGATGATGGTGGTGAAGCGACAATGCCGCCTGATCCTCTTGCTGATGGTTTCCACAAGGCATCCAGAGCCTGGGAGCGCTAACATGGCCCAGTAGATTGGCTCATAGTCCATCCCCTGGAAGAAGACCCGAGGGGAGCTGTCAGGGGTGGGAACCAGCTCTGAGAACAGCCCTGGACCACAGGGGCCAAGGGGCTCGGCCAAGGGGAAATCCCAAAGGCAGCCAAGGTGGAGGTAATTGTGAGGTAGAGACCCCATGGGACAGATCAGAGATGAAGAGTGAGGAACAGAGGAGGGGAACAAGCAGAGACTGACATTCAAGAGACCTAGCCCCAAGGCTACCGTGGCTGAGGCTGGAGCATCTTAACTTGAAGACGTTGATGTGCAGATGACAATGGCATCGGTGTTGACACAGATCTCGTATGGGTCTGAGGCAATGAAGACCAGGCTGAGCAAGGTCTCAGGAGGAGAGCATCTAGGAGATCTTCACTGCCAACACCAAGTCCAACCTGTCCTTCCAGGTGCAGCACAGTTGGGCAATGGAGAGCAGGCAAGCACAGTCACAGCAGGATGATGCTCCCAAGGACACAGCTGCCAGGCCTTGGGTGGCACTGGGGACCTGCTCTGAGCTTTGGTGCTGGGGAACACTGGTGGCTTCCGGTCCCAGCCACCCTAGGTGTGCACTGGCCCTACCTGTGTTGATGGAGTGGGACAGGTCCTACATGATCTGCTTGTTCTTCACCCTGAGGCCATAGATTTCAATCCAGTACTTGCCGATGGGGATACTGGATGACTCCCTGGACCAAGAAAGAAAGCTGAGATCTGCTGGGTCCCGACATGTAAATCCTCCTCCTGCTGCTGCTCTGAGGTGGAGCTGCAGAGATCAGTCCGCTCATCACGTATGTGACTGAAGAATGACTGTAGGCAGGGGAACGGCCGAGCTCAACTGTTACTCCCCACCCCTGCCCCATCAGCACCTCATGTTTGGAAGGTGAAGCCCAACAGCATGAGCTTGTCCATGACGGTGTTGAAGGGGCAGGCAATGAAGCGGCAGCACTGGCACTCGAGGACCCGGCAGGAGGTGCAGCAGCAGGTCAGGCCAGGCACAGAGCTGCCAATACTGAGCCACCACTGGTGGATTCAAAACCTCGGAGATAGACCAGGTTGAGGACATCTTTCTGGAGACATCTGCCTCCCCAAACCTGCTCTGGAAGAGCACTGTGGCCAGGAAGTGCAAGCTGGGAACACCACAAGGTCCTTCAGGGACAGTAATAGTGCAAGCTTCCCCTTCCACCCCCAGCATCCAGAGGCAGGTGTCAAGCTGGAACCAGACAGAACAAGCACGGGGGCCACCAGGAATGATAGGGGACAAACCAGTTGCCAGGTAGATCTGTCATAGAATCACAGAGTGGTTTGGGTTGAAAGGGACCTTTAAAGGCCATCTAGTCCAACCCACCCTGCAATGAGCAAGGACATCTTCAACTAGACCAGGTTGTTCAGAGCCCTGTCCAACCTGGCCTGGAATGGTTCCAGGGATGGGGCACAGCACCTCCCACCTCTCTGGGCAACCTGGGCTAGTGTCTCACCAGCCTCACCATAAAAAATGTATTCCTTGCATCTAGTCTAAATATCCCCTTTTTTAGTTTAAAGCCATCACCCCTCGTCCTATCGCTACAGGCCCTGCCAAAAAGTCTGTCCCCATCTTTCTCGTAAGCCCCTTTTAAGTACTGAAAGGCCGCAGTAAGGTCTCCCCTTTTTCGCCTTCTCTTCTCCAGGCTGAACCCCCTCAACTCTCCCAGCCTGTCCTCCCAGCAGAGGGGCTCCAGCCCTCCCAGCATCTCTGGGGCCTCCTCTGGACCCGCTCCAACAGCTCCATGTCCTTCTGCTATTGGGACCCCCCGAGCGGGAGGCAGCACTGCAGGGGGGTCGCCCCAGAGTGGAGCAGAGGGGCAGAATCCCTTCCCTCGCTCTGCTGGCCACTCTTCTTTCAATGCAGCCCAGGATGCAGGTGGCTTTCTGGGCTGCCAGTGCACGCTGTTGGCTCATGTCCAACTTTTCATACACCAGCACACCCAAGTCCTTCTCCTTGGGGCTGCTCTCCATCCCTTCATCCCCCAGCCTGTATTGATGCCAGGGGTTGCCCCAACCCAGGTGCAGGACCCTGCACTTGGCCTTGTTGAACCTCATGAGGTTCACACAGGCCCACGTCTTGAGCCTGTCCAGATCCTTCTGGATGCCATCCTGTCCCTCCAGCATATTGACTGCACGACTCAGCTTGTTGCTATCTGCAAACTTGCTGAGGGTGCCCTCAATCTCAATGTCCCTGTCATTGATGAAGACAACAGTACTGGTCCCAATATGGGCCCCTGAGGCACACCACTTGTCACTGATCTCCATCTGGACATAGAGCCATTGACTACAAACCTCTGGATATGACCATTCAGCCAATTCCTCATCCACCATCCATGAAATCCATCTCTCTCCAATTTAGAGAGAAGGATTTTGTGGGGGACCATGTCAAAGGCAGTACAGTAGTCCAGATAGATGACATCCGTAGCTCTTCCCTTGTCCACTGATATAGTCACTCCATTGTAAAAGGCCACTAGGTTGGTCAGGCAAATGTTCCCACCAGGCTAAATGGTGTCCCAGTGTGGATGCTGGAGTGGACTGGAGACCTTCCTTGTGCTTCCCAGGATACAGCTGCAGGGACAGCCTGAGCACAGCTCACTGATGGAGACAGAGGGCACAGAACCCACCCACGTTCCCCTTGAGGAAGCGGTTGCTGATGTGCTGGTCTGTGCAGCTGGCATGGGCCGCTTCCTCCACACTGGCCCAGATCATCTCACCCAGGGTGCTGATGGAGTTGGTGCTGCTGATCCTCCAAGCCAGGAACATGATGGCAGCCGGGGCAAGGGCAGCTTGTGGGACCCTCAACCATATCTGCTGTGCCAGCTGGGGGATGGGGGCACATACCAGGTTGAAGAGCCCTGAGGACGATGCATTGGGTTTTGGGCCCATAGGTGATGCCGAGGGTTTCAGTGGCCTTTTGCCTTGCAGGCATCTCATTGCCACCCAGGAGGACACAGTCAGGGGTCTTCAGGTCAGAGGTAGCCATGTCCTTGGCCAGGACCTCAACAGGATGTGGGGGGCACAAGATGGCACAGGGTGCTGCAGCCCTGCATGCCCTTCTCCTGGTCCATCCTGCCCATGGGCCACCAGTGATATGTGGGCCTCCCCCTGCCATCCCCTAACCCATGGTCTCCCAGGGGCCCTGCCTCCAGATGGCACCAGGACAGGTTGCGTTGGACTTGGTGTTGGCATTGAAAAGCTGCTGGATGCTCACAGCCGCTCGCACTGCTCCTCTCCCAAGTCGTTCAACCATGTGGCCCTTGCTGGGTCAAGAAGATGGTCAATGCCACCAGGGCTGGGCAGCAAGGGAAGGGGAGAGGGCAAGGTCTGGCACCCGGGCAAGAGATCTGGGTGCTGGTGGTGACCCCCCTGCTGCACTCGGAGCCTTTATTACCTGTGCCCAACAACTGGGCACATCTGGCTCCCCGTCTGGCCGGGGCCACTCCAGGGGTGCAGATGTCACCCAGCGCACGGGTGTCCACGCTGCCACCCCCCACCCTGCCCCGCAGGGACCAGCTGGCATCTCCCCTGCACTGTCCCCAGAGCCACCCCTCTGTGTCCCCGCTGTCCCCAGCGCCCCGCAGGCTGGTGCTGGGGCGGGGTGAGCCAAACCATCGGCACAAGGCACTGGGACTGAAAGGCACTGGGTTTATTTTTAATAGAGTCCACGTCTTAAGTTAATTAACACACCTGCGTTGCAGGCAAAGGCAGGGCGTCAGGAAAGGGACAGATCCCTCGGCCCAGGCCGGGCACCTCACAACCACACAGGATGCCATGACACACCCCCCCCCCAAATCCCAGGACC